GTTTATTCGTCGTTCATTAGTTTTTTCATACCTATCCTTTGCATTATTGTAACATTGGGGTGAATATATTGTAGGCCCAGCTGGAACAAGAGAGGAGGATACGGGAGCAGATGCAGGCGAAGATGGAGAGGGTGGAGGCCGAGCAGCGGAGGATGGCGGAGATTCTTCAGTACATGCAAAGTCTTGGCGCCACTACGGGTGTAGTTCCGCCACCTTCGCTATTCACTCCACCTCCACCTCCACCTCCTCACTATTCTACTCCTGTGAGTATAAATGTTTTAGTTTGTATGTTTATGCTTACAGTCAAACCTAGTGGAATATGAAAGTTTTATTCATGTATGGTATATATTTATCTTGTCTCACACATGCAATCTCTTCTCCTTTGTGCAGAATCAATCGGCGGCATCGAACGATCCTCATGCTTCAGTGAATCCTTCACCAAATCAGGCTCATTGGCCATCTTGGTGATGATACTTGTGGTTGTTAATGGTATTTCTATTTGCAATTGTGGTTGTAGATGATGGAACACTTGGATTACTTGTGAACTTATTTGTGATATATTGTGAGACATGTGACGTTTGTGATATATATGTGACGTTTATGATATATATGTGGTGTTGGTGATATATATGTTGTTGATGATATATATGTGATGTTGGTGATGTTTGTTATATATATCTTCTGTTTGTTTGGATGGGATGTAAAAAACAAATAAAAGGGTTGTTTTCAGTCACTTTGCCGAGTGCAATGGCCATGACACTCGGCAAAGTGACTACCTAGGAACAAAGGCCATTGCACTCGGCAAACATCACAGATTTGCCGAGTGTCACGGGCCAGACACTCGGCAAAGGTCTACCTTTGCCGAGTGTCTTGCCGATGGCACTCGGCACAGTGGCCACCTTTGCCGAGTGTCTGAGTCAACGGCGTCCGGCAAAGCGGCGACCTTTGCTGAGTGCTTGACCTTGACAAATAAAGCTATGGTTCATGCGAGTGCATGGCAAATAAAGCTAGTATAATACCCTCAAACTGAAATGAAAAAATTGGCTGGTTAACTAACCTTAAGAACACCCTTGCCAAGATAATCAAGTCCTCCATCCCTCAACTCCAAGGCCTCGTATATTCCTGAGAGGTCAATTGTTCAATGAAAAAATGTCAAAATTCTGCACATAGATGTCAAACATGTGGAATTTGAGGCAACTACAGAAAGTCCATTCCAAACGAAAAAGTAGATACTGACATCCCAGAGTACCATATATAATATGAAAAATATTTTTCTTTTCTGTGTTGTTAACATGTCAAAATGATTAAACATGGCATGGTATCACATATAAATATGTTTCATGATTCATTAGATAAAGAATACTTTGAGAGGTCTAATGGCTTCACTGCATTCTTTCTGTATTATTTAAAAACAAAATCATGCTTATACTCAATGATTGAAGAAAGGTTCAGAGAAGTCTAAATGAAATTAAATAGATAAATAAATCACATTATCTAAAAAACATTCTAATTAATAGTAGACAGTATAATAGAAGTTGAAAAGTCGACAAAGGCTCTCTTCTGCTTCATTAACATATCCACACGGTAAGCAATTTTCAGATCAGCTAACCTTGTCGTGCTGGTGATGATTCTGCTGACATGTTTTTAAACACTTTAGGCTCTGCTTTGAGACGAAGTTGATTCTAGAGACCCCGAGCGTAGAAATTTCACAAAAAGGTACTTCGATTCGCACATAAAAAAAACAGCAGTAATTTTCACATGAAGTACTTCAATTCGTGCAGTAAATAACATAAGGGCGCCATCCATTGAGGCGGAGAACAGACTCAACAATATACGCATCAATCAAATCTAGCAAAAAAATCAACCACGCACACATCCGGTCCTAGAAATTTCAACATCACGTGGGTGACAATTAATATCCACAACCAACAAGCGCACAATATACATGTCCCTGAGCCACACAGCATGGACTAATCTCACCGCTGAAATTCCTCGACACGCCCGGATCAAGCAAGCCAAGCAGTGACTGAGGAACAGAGCAACGCAAAGAACTCGAAAATCACAGGGCGGATGGAGAGGAGATAGGCACACGTACCTCGCCTCTCCCTCGGCGACGGGTTGCGATGGCCTCTCGCCAGCGGCCGTGAAGAGGAGGGTGTGCGCCGGGCGAGGATGAGATCCTCGTCATCTCTCCCTCGGCGGCGGCAGGTGCTGGTCGTTCTCTTTCTCGGCGGACCAGTAGAGATGACGATGATTGTCGATCTGTTCCACGGACTGCAGGGCGAGGGCGAGGGATGGTGGTGCGCGACGTCCTATGCGAGGACGCGGGATGGTGGCGGCGGTCGCAGGCAATTCGCGATGGTGGTGACGGCGCTGAGGGATCCGGAAGGAAGGCCAAATCACAGCGTGAGTGCAAGGGGGAAGGCAGACCGTCGGAGATTGCGGTGATTGCAGGGCGAGCGGCAGGGGATCATTGGCGCAAGGGAAGTTGCACCGTGAGGCAGAGGGACGATCGCATGGGGGAGGGCAGGAAGGTGATGCAAAGTTTTTGTCGCACCAAAAAGGTGAGGCCCGGTGGAAATTATGTATACCGAAAAGTAGAGGTGGAATGGGTTTTCGAGATCTTAAAAGTTTCAACACAGCGTTGCTAGCAAAGCAAGTATGGCGACTGTTGTTGGAACAGGATTCTTTATGCGCAAGAATTTTGAGAGCACGGTATTACCCGGATGGGAAATTAGTGAATGCTAAATTGAGGAGTGGCAGTTCGTATACTTGGCAAAGCATTTTGACGGGTCTACAATGCTTTAAAAGGTGATATATTTAGAGAGTTGGGGATGGATCTCAGATAAATATTTGGGAAGATAGCTGGATTTCGTCAAGCCACAATCTTAAGGTTTTAACACCTCGTGGCAATAATTTGGTTACATCAGTGGAGGAGCTCATTAATCCAGTGACTCGTGCATGGGACGAAGAATTAATAAACGACCTATTCTGGCCTGTGGATGTCCACCGAATTTTACAAATCCCCCTCAGATCTGGTAGGGAGGATGTAGTAGCGTGGCACTACAATCAGAATGGTTTCTTCTCTGTCCGATCTGCTTACCATTGTCAATGGTTACATAAATTTGGGGAAAATAGAGTGAATGAACAAGCAAGTGTAGTTGGTGATAAGGAGGTGTGGGCGAATTTGTGGAAGCTTAATGTCCCGGCCAAGATAAAAAAATTTGGGTGGCGAGTCCTACATGGCTTGCCGTGTAGGGGTGTCCTTGCCAACAGGCACATTAAAAATCCAGGGACCTGCCCAGCTTGTAACGATACTTGTGAGGATATCAAGCACCTTCTGTTTATGTGTAAGCGCGCAAAGGAGATTTGGCAGACAATCGGAGTATGGCAGGAGATTGAGAGGAAGGTAGCCGGTGACCGGTCGGGGTCTGTGGTAGTGGCTACATTGATTAATAGATCAAGATCTCTCGCTTTCTTGAATCATTTGGGGTTGGCCGAATTGATCTTAACATGTGGCTGGTTCATATGGTGGGAAAGAAGGAACTTAGTTCATGGTGAAACCATCCAATCTCAAGGGAGAGCAGCTTTATCCATTGCTACTTTGACAACAAATTATCAAAGAATTTTGAAGAAGACGGCCACGTGTGCTGTGGGATGGAAGAAACCACTTGAAGGAATTTTGCTACTAAACATTGATGCTAGCTATAGACCCGAAAGGGGTGATGGGGGTTAGGGGAGAGTTTTGAGAGATACAAATGGTGTTTTCATAGCGGTAGCTCATAGCTTTATCGAGCATGTGGTGGATGCGCCAACTGCTGAAGTGCACGCTCTTAGAGAGGGGCTCCTACTAGCCCAGCATGTTGGATGCATCTGAATCATGGTTCAGTCGGACTGCTTGGAGGTGGTCGAGACTATGAAGCCTGGCGATTTCTCAGCAACAGCAGGAAAACCAATTTATGAAGAATATAAGATGCTTTGGTAGGATTTTTCTTCAATTTTCATTGAGCATTGTAATAGAGATATTGATAGAGTAGCGTATAATTTAGTAACTTTAGCTATTCAGTCAAAGCATACTTGTATTTGGGTCAATGAACCCTCTAGCTTCATACTTAAGCCCTAGTGAACGATGTAACACTATTTTTGAATCAATAAAGTGCGCCAGATGGCTTCCAAAAAAAAAGAAGAAATAAACATGAAAATTTGAAATATAAAAATAATTAATTACAGTAAAAACATCAGTACAGCTGTACAGGTTACGCTCCGCGTCATTTTTTTTTTTTTTGACAAATCGCTCCGCGACGGTTGTTACCGGACAGCGACACCTCATCACCTACCGTGCAATGTATTTTTATTTTTTTAGAAATGTACTCCCTCCGTCTCAGGATATCAGGTGCAACTCGATCAGAAATCGCAAAGACCAAGGAGCGAATTAATTAGCGCGTGCTCCTAGAAATTTCCCTTGGGTTCCATCTCCGATTAATTGCATGAAACGCGCCATTAGCCAAATCGCCAAGCTCCGAGCGCATGCATACATGCAGATGCAAATTTGATGGAGCCCATCTAACGGATGGGAGTTGAACGAGGAGGTCCAACAACCTGCAGTAAATTCTGCATGCAAAATAGTCTACCGTGTTTTGCTGTTGCACGCGCCTCATATCCTGTGCCTCACTAAAAAAGCAGTTACGCCTAGAATCATGAGACGGAGGGAGTACAATGTATTTTTTATTGGGACCATATCATCGAAGCGGAAGGGATCGTCGCTGTGATGATTCTATTCTATTCTATCCGAGCGCTCGCACCAAAAGAATCCCGAAAATTTTTTATAGGCCGAATAAAACCCAACCCAAGTGCCGCCGCCGTCAAAGCCTGCACGCAAGGGTTAGCTCTTCCGTAGCCCCTACGCAACCAACCGTATATATTGTACAGCAAACCCTCACCTGTTTCGTCACCTAAAATCAACCACAAGCCGCCGCCGCTGCCACCACCACCCGATCGCCATGGGCCGTGTCATCCGGGCGCAGCGAAAGGGCGCGGCGGGGTCGGTGTTCAAGTCCCACACCCACCACCGCAAGGGCCCCGCCCGCTTCCGCGCGCTCGACGTCGACGAGCGAAGCGGGTACCTCAAGGGCGTGGTCACCGACATCGTGCATGACCCCGGGCGCGGCGCCCCGCTCGCCCGCGTCACCTTCCGCCACCCCTTCCGCTACAGGCAGCAGAAGGAGCTGTTCCTCGCCGCCGAGGGCATGTACACCGGCCAACTCATCTACTGCGGCCATCGCGCCAACCTCTCCATCGGCAACGTCCTCCCTGTCGGCACCCTCCCCGAGGGGACCATCATCTGCAACGTCGAGAGCCGCGTTGGCGACCGCGGCGCCCTCGCGCGTTGCTCCGGCGACTACGCCATCGTCGTCAGCCACAACACGGACAACGGGACGACCAGGTATATTCAGATTGATATGGGTGAATAGTAGTAGATGTCGTAGATCATTATTCTCTGTTGCCGTTCATGCATGCATGCTCGTACAATTAACGAACGAACAACGATACGATCCTTGACACATGCCATGCAGGGTGAAGCTCCCGTCGGGCGCCAAGAAGTTGCTGCAGAGCGACTGCCGCGCGATGGTCGGGCAGGTCGCCGGCGGCGGCAGGACGGAGAAGCCGTTGCTCAAGGCCGGCAACGCCTACCACAAGTTCCGCGTGAAGAGGAACTGCTGGCCCAGGGTGCGCGGCGTGGCCATGAACCCCGTGGACCATCCGCACGGAGGAGGTAACCACCAGCATATAGGCCACGCATCCACCGTTCGTCGGGACGCTCCTCCTGGAGCAAAGTCTGGCCAGATCGCCGCACGGAGGACCGGCAGGCGCAGAGGGCAAGCCGCTGTGACAGCGGGCAAATCAATGCTATGAGACCTTTTATCTGTGGCAATCTGCCAGATATCTATCAGCTATGTTCGTTAGCCAGTTATTTCGTTCGAGATAGAGTTACTTAGGGCTAGGCTAGGGTTTTGTGGATCGATCGAATTGTCGGGGTCGCATTGTCCGCTATGTTGGTCAGACCCATAATAAAAGAAAAGAAGACTCACGATTGGGCTTTTGTAGTCATATAAGTTTTGCTACGCATTATCTCTCCATGCACAATAGAAAGAGTGTATCTAGAAAAGTTGAAAAGTCAAAAGGTCTTATAAATTAAAAACGGAGGGAGTTGTTGCTGCTGCTGCTGTTTTTTAGAAAGCTTTGCCCTCTCCTCCCCCGGTACCCTATTATCACTTCACCAGACACCGCCAATAACATCGCCAATCATCGCTAATCCCGCGTATATATGGTCCAATACCTCTGTAAATGCTTATGCAAGCCCTTAAATACCAAAAACCATCATTCCAATTCCAACAGTCCTTATAAAATATATAAGCCCTAAAATACCAAAAACCATCGGCTTGGTTCATTCCAATTCAACAGTCCTTAACACTGTTGACAATGATGTCGCCTTGTATTTGGTCGTAGATGCCAATTATGAGTGCCAGCCCTGTCTTCATCACGGTGATGCCTCCTGATCCCTGGAAAACAAAACAACCAAAAAAAACAAGTGTTTTGTTTAGGGAACCAAAGGCAGATGTGGAGTGCCTTTACATGTTAGTTAGTTATAATTATATCTAAAAGCATGTACATGGCCTCCTCAAATACAAGAGAAGTGGATCAAATAATATTTGACCATATTTCGCTTGGAAAGTAACAAAGATATGTGTAACAATTCAGTAACTTCGAATCATGAGGATATTGGAGAAAAGAGTAGATTTCAAAGAGCATTACCGCTAGAATTGCTATTGTTTCTCTAACGAGAATCCTGCTCCAGAAATAAAATCCATGGCACAGCGGCATGTAACGGCCACATAGGTTGAACGAAAGAAAGCAATTTATGAGAAAACCACAACCGATGAACAAAGTCCGGGACCTGAAAGTTTGACTAAATGAGTTTGTATGAAATCTGTTGTAAACGCTATGGTTTATATTGATCTAGTATATATGTAATAAAAAATAGTATGTTATTTGTCTATAACAAATGTATTGCGTTTTGCTTCATCTTACACAAATGGCATAATTGAATAAATAAAGAATACATTGTATATATAGGGATTATGGAAACCGGTCCAACTAAAGGGATTTGTGAAGGAAAAAATTTCATTACTATGTTATCTACTTTTGTTTGCTATATTCTCGTTGGCAAATCCAATTTTGCAGTTAATAGCTAAGTACCGAGCGATTCAAAATATTTAGCAGCCAAAGGCTCATGAAACAATGTACTGTGTGTCCACCTTATCTCTGTCCCGTTCACACATCTCTCTCCCTGTTATCTCTTCCCCTCACTCTATCTCCCTTATCTACACAGACCTCTCTCCATCACGCTCTCTTATTTACATAGACCTCCAACCCTCCCCCCTTCCCCCTCTCCTTGGCGCTCTGAGCCGAGTAGGGTGAGAGCACCGACGACCAAGCTAAGAGTATGCCCCCAGCGTTCCATGGAATACCCATGTTCTTTCAACAAAAAATAAATATATGTATATAAGTATATATGTACAATTATATAGCATGTTGTAAATTGACCTATAAGCCTAATCGACCTACTACTAGCCCATGAAGTCATTAGAAACTGCATCCATCTCCCGTCTCCGTTGTCCCGTTCAGCAAATTGGCGTCCTCCGTCCATGACATAGCGCCTCGGGCGAGTTTTGCGGCGCATTGACTCGGAAGTCGAAAGCAGCGGTTGATGGTCACGGCGCGGCCATCACCCCTCCCCGGCTCCCCCTCGGCCCCCTCCCGGCTCCGTTGTCCACTCGACTCGCCCCCTCACTCCTGCAGTGGGCAACCAACGTCCAGCGACAGAACGGACGACGTTGAAGTTGTTGCCACCAGCGTCCAGCGACGGAGCAAACAGCGTTGAAGTCATTGCCGGTCACTGCAGTCTACACAGCAGCCAGCATGATAGTACCCTTCTCCCTCGATGGCTCGGTCACTGCCGCTCGACTCGGCATCTCCCTCTCCTAGACCCATTCTCCAGTCTAGGCTTCTAGGCTTAGATTTTGTTTTCTTCTCTAATTTAGAACAAATTGAGATCTTGATTGATGAAATCTAGAATTTCTAAAAAAAATTCATTGTATTCTTGTTATGGTGATTATGTTATGAACTTATGGTCCATATATTGAATATTTGCATTGAAAGCACGTGGAATACCCTGCTGGAAAATTCTGCCTCCGCAACTAGTAAAGCCCAGGCGAGCAGATCAGCGGACGGTGCGCATGCCTGAGAGTGGGATGGGAGCGCCCATGGCCGGGCAACGTGCCATGCTGGGCGAGCGTGTGCCCACGGCCGGACGGCTGCCACAATGAAGGAGGGCCATGGCCGGACAGTGTATGCAGGCTTTTGGGGACGTTTTCTCAATGATTTTTAAGGGCATTAAATTTTTAATTCTAGATTCGGTTGGTTGGTCGTCCCTGCAAATCACTTATTTATAGAAATTTTTAGAACTGTCTAGGTGACATTTACTTGTTTTAGCCCCTCCCAACAACTAAATTTAGCCCATATATTTACACCGTTTTAGTAGTATTTACACTGTCCTATTACTATATTTACAGTGATTTCATCGGTGTAATTTATTGGACAGAGTAATGTAATTTCGGGATAACACAAATATATGTCAAATTTTTCAAAAAAAATACAAATTATTTCTATGGATTCTAAATATTAGAGAAATATTTGTCAAAGTATTCACAAATGTCATCAAATTAGAAAAAAATGCAGATCTCAGAGGAAGAGAAGAATTGAGCACAGGGGCGAGCGCGGAGCTCCATCCTTGTGAGCGGCGGCGCGAGGGGCCACGCACCGGCGGCGGAGGAACCGCCTGGGGGCGGTGGCGGTGCAGGGAGCAGCCTTGGGGCAGTGGCGGCCGGCCTAGGGTCAAGTCGATGACGTAGCCGCTGAGACGCACGAGGACGTGCAGCTTGGGATCGACGACGTATCCACTGGGACGTAGGAGGACGTGTGGCTCTAGCCTATATCGCTCACTGCTCGTGGCTAAACAATCAATCCAACGCCAGAGCACGCGCCACAAAACAAATCGGACTGCGACAAATTCGGTTTCGGGCACAAGATAAAACATGCGGTTGCTCTAAAGCAATTCTGAAATTTTTCCATAGAGGTGACTGTGAACACTGGTTCTGAAAGTCAATTTTGACCATCCCCTGAAAATGTTCTTTGTAATATTGTACGGAACTATATTCAGAATCGTTAGTTAGTTTTTATTTGATAGAGACAAGGCACAGAAAGAAAGGTCAGCGGCGATTGGGCAGTCACCTTCTTGCCGTGACGAATGACAGCGCCAGGTTGTCCTTGCATGATTCTCAAAAAAAGGTTCTCCTCGGATGACCATGTATTTCATGGGTCCAAGGAACAGGCCTGTCGGGGAGGGGTGCCCCGGTTCATAGAAATCTTTCATGATGTTGGCAATCTCCACGCTCCTGAACTAGACACACCACACACACACAAAAATCCCCTCGAGAGATGAGATGGCAGCGGGATCACGCAAATAACATCGATCATAGTAACATAGCAGTAGCAAACTGCTGAATGATGGTGACCTTGGGGAACGCGTCGCTCTGAGCCCAGACGGTGCCGTCGTGGCCGACGATTAGGGCCGGACAAAATACTCGTGGCTCGTCAACTCGTTCGACTCGTGGCCGATCGACTCGTCTTGTTTTAACTTTTTCACGAGTCGAACTGTAAGTCTAGCTCGCTATTTTAACGAGCCAGCTCACAAGCTGAAATAAGTTGAGGCCTATCATCCCACGACCATAAATCTAAAAGATAATGATGCTAACCTAGAAGTGTACATCTGTTCTATTGGTACATAATCCTTATTTTCCGCTGTTTAATATGAATTTTAATTTTATAATTGTTGTGGCACTTAAATGTTGATTTTATGGATTGTTTTCTAGGGAGAAGATGATGATGATAACATTGAATCTGTGGACTTTCCTAAGTTTATGGTGACAAGCAACTAGTTAATATGCTGGAACTGCATGATTATAGATGGACCAGATATGTTGCATAGTTGATACTTTTGATGAACCTGATATATATTAATCATGTATGGTTGCATAACAATAGACGTCACCTTCAAAAATTAATGTAGCATAAACATTATAAACATGTGTGTCCTATTTTTTATAGCTCGCAAACTAAACGAGCCAGCTCGAGCTCGGTAACGAACCGAGCCGAGCTACCCGTCTAGCTCGTAATATTAACAAGCAAGCCGAGCTGACTCGTTGGCCTAACCAACCAGCTCGAGCTGGACCAAGCCGAGACAAGCTGGCTTCATATCCAGCACTACCGACGATGGCCACGGCGGTGAGATGGTGACCCTCTACCTCGCACATTAGGAGCTCGTCCACGAACGGGTGCCACGACGTCGTCGACGTCCTTGTCGTCCTCCCGGATCCGTCCTCTGATCTCGCACTGCTCGCCAAGGACGGAGAGAGCGATAGGGTTCGTGCTCCCCAACACAAATCTACTGAAAGTGACGAAGAGTTTCTGGTAGCATGCACGAAACGGATGGCATAAAGAGGGGAACGAAAGACCGGATCGCCGCCTCGCTCCGGCCACACGTTTGTCTCCTTCCTCGCGCACGATTGTTATGATCGACACGATCTAAAAAATTTTAGTTAAAAAATATTTTTATTCGAAATCATTTTAAGTTTTTAATATTTGTTTTTATATTATCATATTTTAAGATTCATATTTGTTAATATTTTAAAATTATCTTAATTGGAGACATGCTATAAATTATAGCTCTCGACAATATCTAAAATTTTATAGTTAAAATTTTTAAAATTAAAGATTGTTTAGGGAGGAGGGGT